ATGATGTTGAGGATGAGGTTTACGATGATGTTGTTGATGAGGATGAGGATGAGGATGAGTTTGAGGATGTGGATGAAGATGAGCATGGGGATGAAGATGAGGATTCGAATGAGGATCAGGATGAAAATAAGGATGTGGATGACGATGAGGATGATGATGGGGATGATGTTGACGATGAGGATGAGTATGATGATGAGGATGATGATGAGGATTATGATGAGGATGATGATGAGGATCAGGATGAGAATGTTGATTATATTATTGATGACGATGAGGATGAGGATGAGGATGAGGATGAAGATGATAAGGGGGATGAGGATTAGGATGAGGATGATGATCAGGATGAGGATGAGGACGATGATGATGATGATGATGACGTTGATGTCGACGACGATGATGATGATGATGATGACGATGATGAAGATGATGATTAGGTTGATGACGGGGATGAAAATGAGCATCGGAATGAGGATCAGGATGAAGATGAGGATGAGGATAAGAATGATGATGATGATGATGATGATGATGATGATGATGATTATAATGAAGATAATGATGATGATGATGATGAATATTTTGATGATGATGAGGAGGAGGCTGACGATGAGGTTGAGGATGGGGATTTGGTTGAGAATTACAAAGAGGATGAGGATGAGTTTGTGGATGATGATGAGGATGATGATGGTGATGACGATGTGTATGTTTATGATGAAGATGAGGCTGAGGATGAGATTGAGTATGGGGATGAGGATGAAGATGAGGATGAGGATGCGGATGAGGATGAGGATTAGGATACGGATGATGATGGATATGAGGATGTGGATGAAAATGATTATGAGGATGGGGATGAGGTTGAGGATGTGGATGAGGAAGAGGATAAGGGTGAGGACGTCAATGATGAGGAGGATGAGGATGACGATGTGGATGAGGATGGTGATGAAGATGGTGAGGATGATGATGACGACGATGATGATGATAACGAGGTTGAGAACGAGGATGTGGTTGAGGATGAAAATGACGATGCGGATGAAAATGAGGATGATGATGAGGATGTTGATGAGGATGATGATGAGGATGAGCATGTGGGTGAGGATGAGCATGAGGAAGATGATGTTGACGATTATGATGATGATGTTTTTGACGATGACGAATACGATGACGTTGAGAATGATGATGCTGATGAGTACGATGATGAGGATGTTGATGATGATGAGGATGAGGAAGAGGATGCGGTTGAGGATGATGATGACGATGAGCATGGGTATGAGTAAGAGGATGAGGATGAGGATGAGTATGATGATCATGATCCTGATGATGATGGTGATGCCGATGATGATGATGATGATGGTGATGATGATGATGACGAGGAAGAAGATGAGGATGAGAATGAGGTTGATGATGTGGATGAGGATGATGATGAGGATGATGATGAGGATGAGGATGATGATGAGGATGAGGATGAGGATCAGGATAGGGATGAGGATGAGGATGAGGATGATCATGATGATGATGATGAGAATGATGATGATGTTATTGATGATGACGATTCCGATGATGTTGAGAATGATGATGATGATGAATATGATGATGAGGATGATGATGAGGATGAGGATGAGGGTGATGATGCTGATGATGATGACGAGGATGAGGATGAGGCTGAGGTTCATGATGATGATGATGAGGATGATGATGAGGATGAGGAAGAAGATGAGGATCATGATGAGGATCAGGATGAGCATTACGATAAGGATGATGATAAGGATGAGGGTGAATACGAGGATGAGGACGAGTTTGTGGATGCCGTTGATGACGATGATGATTAAAATGATGATGAGGATGATGATGAGGAATAGGATGAGGATGAGGATGATGATGATGAGGAGAATGAGAATCATGATGAGGATGACGATGATTAGGATGATGATGAGGATGATAATGAGGATGATGATGAGTATGAAGGTGAGGATGAGGTTGAGAATGAGGATGAGGATGAGGATGATGATGAGGATGATGATGATGATGAGTATGAGGCTGAGGATGATGTTGAGGATGGGGATGAGGAATAGGATGAGGATGAGGATGATGATGATGAGGAGAATGTTAATGAGGATGAAGATGAGGATGAGGATGAGGATGAGAACGACGAAGAGGGTGAGGATGAGGATGAGGATGAGAATAATGATGATGATGATGATGATGATGATGTTGATGATGAGGGTGGGGATGAAGATGACGATGAGGATGAGGATGAGTATAACGATGTTGATGATGATTTCGATGATGATGATGATATTGATGATGATGAGGAGGAGGATGAGGAGGATGAGGAGGACGATGTGGCTCAGGTTGAGCTCGAGGGTGAGGATGAGAATGAGGATGCGGATGAGGATGAGGATGATGATGATGATGATGAAGATGATGATGATGATGCTGATGATGATGAGGAAGATGATGAGGAAGAATCTGAGGATGAGCTTGAAGATGGGGATGAGGAATAGGATGAGGATGAGGATGATGATGAGGATGAGGATGATGATGATGAAGATGAGGATGAGGATGAGGATGAGTCTGAGGGGGAGGTTGAGGATGATGATGATGTTCATGATGAGGGTGATGATGATGATGATGATGATGAGGAAGATGATGAGGATGATGATGGTGATGCAGAAGAAGACGATGATGACGATGATGAGTATGATGATGAGGATGAGGCTGAGGATGAGGTTGAGGATGGGAATGAGGATGAGTATGAGGATGATGATGAGGATTAGGATGTGGATGAAAATGAGGATGACGTTGATTAATAAGATGATGATGAGGAGGAGGATGATGATGATGATGAGAATGAGAATGAGGATGAGTATGAGGATGATGATGAGGATGAGGATGTGGATGAAAATGAGGATGACGTTGATTAATAAGATGATGATGAGGAGGAGGATGATGATGATGATGAGGATGATGATTATGATGATGATGATGATGAAGACGATAATGCGGATGATGACGATCGTGCAGATGATGAAGATGAGGATGAGTTTGAGGAAGATGATGAGGCCGCGAATGGGGATGAATATGATGATGATGATGAGGATGAGGATGAGGATGAGGATGATGATTATGATCATGATGATAATGATGTTGATGATGAGGAAAAGGAGGATGTCGAGGAGGATGAACCTGAGAATGAACTTCAGGATGAGGATTAGGATGAGGATGCGGTTGAGGATGAGGACGAGGATGATGATGATGATGCGGAAGAAGACGATGATGACGATGATGAGTATGATGATGAGGGTGAGGCTGAGGATGAGGTTGAGGATGGGAATGAGGAAGAAAATGAGGATAAGAATGATGATGAGGATGAGGATGATGATGATGATGAGAATGAGGATGAGGATGAGTATGAGGATGATGATGAGGATGAGGATGTGGATGAGGATGAGGATAATGATGATGGTGATGATGATGATGATGTGGAAGACGATAATGCGGATGATGACGATCGTGCAGATGATGAATATGAGGATGAGTTTGTGGAAGAAGATGAGGCCGCGAATGGGGATGAATATCATGATGAGGATGAGAATGAGGATGATCATGATGAGGATGAGGATGAGGATGAGTATGAGCATGAGGATAAGGATGAGAATGGGGATGAAGATGAGGATGACGTTGATGATGAAGATGATGATGATGGGGAGGATGGTGATGGGGATGATGATGACGATGACGATGAGGATGAGGATGATAATGATGATGATGATGCTTATGCGGATGATGATGATGATGATGCCGAAGAAGACGATGATAATCATGATGAGGATGATGCTGAGGATGATGATGATGATGAGGATAAGAATGAGGATGAAGATGAGTATGAGGATGAAGATGAGGATGACGTTTTGATGAAGATGATGTAGAGGATGAGAATGAGGATGAGGATGAAGATGAGGATGAGGTTGATGATGAGGATGATGATGAGGATGATGATGAGGATGAGAATGGGGATGATAATCAGAATGAGGATTAGGATGAGGATGATGACGATGAGGATGATGATAATGATACTGATGATGAGGATGCTTATGCGGATGATGATGATGATGAAGCCGAATGAGACGATGATAATCATGACGAGGATGATGATGAGGATCATGATGATGATGAGGATGAGAATGAGGATGAGGATGAGTGTGAGGATGAGTATGAGGATGAAGATGAGGATGACGTTGTTGATGAAGATGATGATGAGGATGAGAATGAGGATGAGGATGATGATGATGATGAGGATGAGAATGAGGATGAGGATGAGTATGAGGATGAGGATGAGTATGAGGATGAAGATAAGGATGAGAATGAGGATGAGGGTGAGTATGAGGATGAGTATGAGGATGAAGATGAGGATGACGTTGATGTTGAAGATGACGATGAGGATGAGGATGATGATGAGGATGAGGAGGAGGTGGATGATGATGAGGACGCTGACGAGGATGAGGATGAGGATGAGCATGAGGATGCGGATGAGGATGAGGATGATGATGACCATGAGGATGAGTATGAGGATGAGGATTAGGTTGAGGACCAGGAATAGGATGATGATGATGATGATGATGATGATGACGATGATGACGACGGTGACGATGATGATGCTGATGATGATGTTGATGAGGATGACGGTGAGGATGAGAATGACGATGAGGATGAAGACGAGAATGAGGATGAGGATGAGGATGAGGATGAGAATGAGGATGAGGATGAGGATGAGGTTGAGGTTCATGATGATGATGATGCTTATGATGATGATGATAATGATGATGATGGGGAGGAGGAGGAAGAGGAGGATGACGCTGGGTATGAGCTTGAGGATGAGGACGAGAATGCAGAGGAGGATGAGGAAGAGGTAGATGATGATGAACATCATGATGATGATGCTGATGATGATGAGGATGATGATAATGATGATGATGAGAATGATGCTGAGTATGAGGTTTACGATGTTGATTATGAGGAGGAGGAGGATGATGATGAGGACGCTGACGAGGATGAGGATGAGGATGAGCATGAGGATGCGGATGAGGATGAGGATCATGATGAGGATGACGATGAGGATAATGATGATGATGAGGACGAGGAGGAGGATGAGGATGAGGCTCAGGAGGAGGTTGAGAAGGAGAATGAGGATGAACATGATGATGATGATGAGGATGATGCTGAGGATGATGATGAGATTGAGAATGAGGATCAGGATGAGGATGAGGATAAGGATCAGCATCAGGATCAGAATCTGGATCAGGATCGCGATCAGGATGAGGATGAGGTTGAGGATGTGGATGATGATGTTGATGATGATGATGATCATGATGATGAGGATGAGGATGAAGTTGAAGAAGAGGATGAGGATGAGGATGAGGATGACGATGAGGATGATGATGAGCATCAAAATGAGGATGAGGATGATGATGAGGATGATGATGAGGATGAGGATGGGGATGAGGATGAGGACCATGATGTGGATGAGGATGGTGATGGGGATGATGATGATGATGATNTGAGGATGATGATGATGATGATGATGAGGATGAGTCTGAGGATGATGATGATGATGATAATGAGGGTGATGATGATGTTGATGATGAAGAGGATGAGGACGAGCAGGATTAGGCTGAGGATGAGTTTCAGTATGAGGATTAGGATGAGGATGATGATGAGGATGAGGATGGTGATGAGGATGAGGATGAGGATGAGGACGACGATGATGATCATGATGATGATGATGATGATGACGATGATGACGATGATGATGAGAATGATGATGAGGATGAGGATGAGCATGAGGATGATCATGATGATGATGATGGCGATGAAAATGCCGATGGTGTTGATGATGATGATGATGAAGATGATGATGATGATCAGCATGATGATGTTGATAATGATGATGATGATGAAAATGATGGTGAGGATGAATATGAGGATGAGGATGAGGATGAGGATGTTGATGAGCCTCAAGATGAGAATGAGGATGTTGATGGGATGAGGTTGAGGATGAGGATTGGGAAGAGGATGGGGACCAGGATGCGGATGAGGATGATGATGATGATGATGATGATGATGAAAATGTTGATGATGAGGAGGAGGAAAAGATGGAGCTGAGGAAGATGATGATGGTGATAATGATGATGATGATGATGATGTTGATGATGAGGAGGATGAGGACGAGGTGGACTACGTTGAGGATGAGTTCGAGTATGAGGATGAGGAAGAGGATGCCGATGAGGATGGTGATGGTGATGAGGATGAGGATGAGGACGATGATCATGATCATGATGATGATGATGATGATGATGATGATGGTGATGATGATGAAAATGATGATGATGATGACGATGATGATGAGGATGAGGCTGAGGATGAGGACGAGGATGAGGATGAGGATGATGTTGAGGATGAGGTTGAGGATGATGATGAGGACGAGGATGAGGATGAGGATGACGATGATAATGATGATGATGAGGAGGTGTTGGACGATGATGATGATGATGTGGATGAGGATGAGGATGATGATGATGTTGAGGATGATGATGATGATGATGATGATGAGGTTGATGACGAGGATGATAAAGATGATGCAGAAGATGACGAAGCTGATGATGAGGGTGATGATGATGAGGAGGATGGGGATGAAGATGCGGATGAGGATGAGGATGATGATGATGTTGAGGATGATGAGGTTGATGACGAGGATGATAAAGATGATGCAGAAGATGACGAAGCTGATGATGATGATGATGATGATGATGATGATGAGGAGGAGGAGGACGAGGAGGATGATGATGAGGATGAAAATGAGGACGAGGATGACGATGAGGATAATGATGATGATGACGATAGGGATGAAGATGAGGTTGAGGATGAGGATGACGATGGTGATGATGATTACGGTAATGATGATAATGATGACGATGATGATGAGAAGGAGGTGCAGGAGGAGGATGAGCCTGAGGATGAGCTTGAGGATGAGGATGAGGATGGTGATGAGGATGAGGATGATGATGATGTTGAGGATGATGAAGATGATGATAATGTGGTTGATGACGAGGATGATAAAGATGATGATGGTGATTAGGATGAGGCTGCGAATGAAGTTGAGGATGGGGATGAGGAAGAGGATGAGTATGAGGTTGATTATGAGGATGAGATGAGGATGATGATGACAAGGAGGATGATGATGAGGACGAGGATGAGGATGAGGATGATGATGACAAGGAGGATGATAATGAGGATGAAGATGAAGACGAGGATGAGGCTGAGGATGAGCTTGAGTATGAGGATGAGGATGCGGATGCGTATGTGGATGAGGATGACGATGAAGATGATTATAATGATGATGACGATGATAATGATGATGATGATGATGATGACGATGGTGATGATGTCGAGGATGAGGCTGGGAATTAGGTTTAGGATGGGGATGAAGATGCGGATGAGGATGAGGATGAGGATGATGAAGATGATGATGACCTTGATGATGATGATAATGATGATGATGATGATGTTGATGATGAGGAGGATGAGGACGAGGAGGATTACGTTGAGGATGAGTTCGAGTATGAGGATGAGTAAGAGGATGCGGATGAGGATGGTGATGGTGATGGTGATGAGGGTGAGGATCAGGATGAGGATGAGGATGAAGATTAAGATGACGATGATGGTGAGGAGGACTAGGACGAGGAGGATGATGACGAGGATGAAGATGAGGCTGAGGATGAGGATAAAGATGAAGATGAGGTTGAGGATGAGGATCAGGATGAGGATGAGGTTCAGGATCAGGATCAGGCTGGTGATGAGGATGACGATGTGGATGCTGATGAGGATGATGATGAAGAGGATGAGGATGATGATGATGATGATGATGACGATGATTATAATGATGATGACGATGATGGTGAGGTTGATGATGAGGATGATGATGATGGTGATGAGGATGAGGATATGCACGAGGATGAGGATGATTATGATGATGACGATGATGAGGAGGAGGAGGATGGGGATGATGACGATGATGTAGATGAGGATTAGGATGAGGATTAGGATGAGCATAAGGATGACGATGATGATGAGGCTGAGGATGATGAGGAGGATGATGTTGAGGATGATGTCGAGGAAGATGATGAGGATTAAAATGAGCATGAAGATGAGAATGACGATAAGGATGAGGATGATGATAAGCATGAGGATGAGGATGAGGATTGGTATGAGGATGATGATTATGATGATGACGTTAATGTTGATTATGATGATGATGATGATGAGGAAGAGGAGGAGGAGGACGAGAATGAGGCTGAGAATGAACTTGAGCATGAGAATTTGGAAATGAGGCGGATGAGGATGAGGATAAGGAGGACGATGAGGAAGATGATGATGAACATGATGATGATGATGATGATGATGAGGTTGATGACGATGATTATGTTGATGATGATGATGTTGATGCAGATGATGTTAATGATGACGATGATGATTATGAGGTTAAGGCCGAGGATGAGGTTGAGGATGGCGATGATTAGGAGGATGAGGATGAAACGACGATGAGGATGAGGATGATGATGATGAGGATGGGGATGAGGATGAGGATGAGAATGAGAATGAGGATGAGGATGATGATGAGGATGATGTTGATGATGAAGAGGAGGAGCAGGATGATGATGAGGATGATGATGATGAGGATGGGGAAGATGATGAAGACGAGGATGAGGATGAAGATGAGAGTGAGCATCGGGATGAGGAAGAGGATGAGGATGATGATGAGGATGAGGATCAGGATGAGCATGATGACCTGGATCAGGATGAGGATGAGGATGAGGATGAGGATGACGACGATGATCATGAAGGCGAGGAGGATGATGATGAGGATGACGATGAGGATGAGGTTGAGGATGAGGATGAAGATGAGGATGAGGACCAGAATGAGGATGAGGAGGATGATGATGATGATGATGATGATGGTGACGACGATGATGATGATGATGATGATGATGATGTAGATGAGGATGAGGATGAAGATTAGAATGACGATGAGGAAGAAGATTAGGATGAGGATGTGGATGGTGATGATGATGAGGGTGGGGATGAAGATGAGGATGAGGATGATGATGATGATGATGATGATTACGTTGATGATGATAATGATGATGATGATGATGGTGATGAGGAAGAGGTGGAGGAGTATGAGTATGAGGCTGAGGATGAACATGAGCATGAGGATGAGGATGAGGATCCGAATGAGGATGAGGATGAGGATGAGCATGATGCAGATGAAACGGATTATAATGTTGATGATGATGATGATGATGATGATGTGGATGAGGATGTGGATGGGGATGAGGATGCTGATGAGCATAAGGATTAAGATGAAAAAGAGGATGAGGATGAGGAGGATGATGATGATGATGATGACGATGAGAATTAGGATGAGGATGAGGATGAAAATGAATATGACAATGATGATGATGATGACGATGCGGTGGAAGAGGATGATGAGGATGATGATGATGAGAATGAGGATGAGGATGTTGATGAGGATGAGGTTGAGGCTGAGAATGAGGTTTAGATTGGGGATGAGGAAGTGGATGAGGATGATGGTAAGAATGATGATGATGATCCTGATGAGGCTGATGATGAGGATGATGATGATGATGCACATGAAGACGATGAGGATGACTTCGAAGATGTGGATGAGGATGAGGATGAAAATGATGATGAGGATGAGGATGCGGATGATGATGAGCATGAGGATGAGGATCAGGATGAGTACTAGGGTGAAAAGGGGGATGAAAATGAGGACGAATATGACGATGATGATGATGATGATGAGTAGGAGGAGGAGGATGGTGATAATGATGAGGATGATGAGAATTAGGATGAGAATGAGGATGATGATGAGGATGATGATGAGGATGATCATGATGATGTTGATGAGGATGAGGTTGAGGATGAGAATGACGATGAGGATGAAGTTGTGGATGAGGAAGAGGATGATGATGATGATGATGATTATGATGAAAACGATGGCGATGAGGAAGAGGACGAGGATGAGGATGTAGATGAGGATGATGATGATGATGATGATCATGACGATGACGACGATGATGATTATGATGATGATGTTGATGAGGATGAGGACGAGGATGAGAATGACGATGATGAAGAAGAAGAAGAGGCGGATGATGATGATGATGATGATGACGATGGGGATGAAGATGAGGATGAGGATGCGGATGAGGATGATGATTATGATTATGATGATGGTGATAATGATGATTATGATGATCATGATGAGGAAGAGGAGGATTAGAAGGAAGCTGAATATGAACTTGAGCATCAGGATGAGGATGAGGATGCGGATGAGGATGACGATGAGGTTGAGGATGATGATGATGAACATGATGTTGATGATGATGATGATGATGACGATGATGATGATGTTGATGGTGAGGATGAGGCTGAGAATGAGTTTGAGGATGGGGATGAGCAAGAGGATGAGGATGTGGATGAGGATGAGGATGAGTATTAGGGTGGAAATGAGGATGAAAATGAGGATGAGGATAGGGATGAGGATGATGGTGATAATGAGGATGGGGAGGAACATGAGGATGAGGATGTGGACGAGGATGATGATGATGATGATGACGAGGATGATGAGGAGGAGGACGAGTATGAGGCTGAGGATGAACTTGAGCACGAGGATGAGGATGAGGATGCGAATGGGGATGAGGATGAGGATGAGGATAATGATGATGAAGATGATGATGATGATGCCGATGATGATGATGACGATGATGGTGATGAGGATGATGGTGAGGAAGATGTTGAGAATGAGGTTGAGAATGAGGATGACGAAGAGTATGAGGTTGAGGATGATGATGATGATGAGAATGAGTATGATGGTGAAAATGATGATAGGGATGAGGATAACGTTGACAATGATGATTATGATGTGATGAGGATGAGGATGATGATGATGAAGATGATGATGATGATGCCGATGATGATGATGACGCCGATGGTGATGAGGATGATGGTGAGGATGATGTTGAGAATGAGGTTGAGAATGGGGATGACGAAGAGGATGCGGATGAGGATGAGGATGATGATGATGATGAGGATGAATATGAGGATGAGAATGAGGATGAGGTTGAGGACGGCGATGATGATCAGGATGAAGATGAGGATCAGGATGAAGATGAGAATGACGATGAGGTTGATGATAATGATGATGCTGAGGATGAGGATGAGGATGGGGATGAAGATGAGAATGAAGCTGAGGATGTGGATGAGAATGAGGATTAGGAAAAAGGGGAAGATGAGGATGAGGATTATAATGATGATGATGATGGTGATTATGATAAGGATGATGATGGAGATGATGATGGTGATG